TACACGATATTTCACAATCCAGCTTCCTGAAATCAAAAAACAATATTTCTCTTTAAAACTGGTATGGTTGGTCAACGTATAGGTCAAAATTATTAAAAAATAACAGAAATTCGCTGATTGTTAGGTGTTTTTGTAAAGAGATTTAGAAACTAGTTGTCTTTTTAGTTACATATTGTGCTCGTGTATTATTTTGAAAGTATGTCAATAGTAAAAAAATGATTTCTGAATGAAAGTAACATTACAATGGAATAAATAACATTCGTATATAAATAATAAAGTATACAAAAGCTCAGTTGCTTTAAAATTGTTATGAGAAAGAATAAAAGCACCAAAAATCGGCGATTTATAATAATAAAGTAAATAAACATTCTTATGTGAATAATTCAATATTTGCAAGTTTAATTATCGTGAGGACATACAAAAATTTAAAAAACAGTAAAAGTCGACGATGTACAAAAATGAAATATATAGACATTTGTAAATAAATAATTAAACATCAACAAGCTTAATTAAACATCAAATGATTAAACATCTACAAGTTTAATTATTAAAATTGCATGAAAAAATGAAAACAGTAAAAAAACCTCAACTTATAATAAATAAACAACGGTATATAAATAATTAAATATCTGAAAGTTTAAAAATTTTGAAAAAATAAGATTTTGAAGAAATAAGAAACAATAGAAACAATAAAAGTCGGCGATTTACAGTAATGAAATAAATAAATATTCGGATAGAAATGAAAAATATCTAAATGTTTAATTTTTATTTTCTTAATAATCTAACAATTTAATTACTTTGAAATTATGATAAGAAAAAGTGAAGACAGTAAAAATTTGCAGTTTCAAATAAAGTTGTATACATAATGAAACAGATAAAAAATTCGTAAAAGACATTTTACGATTGGTATAAAAATAAATATTTATCGAAACGAATAAACAAATAAATGTACATTTTTCATGCTTATTAATGTATTCTGTCGTTCTTTTTCTGTTACATGTTGATGTGAATGACACGTTGGAACACCAAATTCTATGCGTCTCTAATGGAGCCCTCAGGCGATCAATATGTATTGTCAATATTTCAGGATTACCAGTATTTATTGACAATATTGTATCGACAATATACATACATCGATCCTGAATATGAGAAGTAGTGAATTTGGAAATTTGGTGAATCAGGATGTATGAATTTGGAAATTAGGAAACTTGGAAATTTGAATTTGAAAATTCAGTAATTTGGGAATTTCAAAATATGAAAGGACGAAAATTTGCAAGCAGACAAATGTTGAAATTTAGGAACTAGAAATTTAGAGATCTGGAAAATTAAAGATTTGGAAATTTAGAGAATTGGAAATTTAGAGATTTGGAAATTTAAAGATTTGGAAATTTAGAAATTTGGAAATTTGGAAATTTGGAAATTTGGAAATTGGGAAATTTGGAAATTCGGAACTTTGGAACTTTGGAACTTTGGAAATTTGGAAATTTGGAAATTGGGAAATTGGGAAATTGGGAAATTTGGAAATTCGGAACTTTGGAACTTTGGAACTTTGGAAATTTGGAAATGTGGAAATTGGGAAATTGGGAAATTGGGAAATTTGGAAATTCGGAAATTTGGAACTTTGGAACTTTGGAAATTTGGAAATTTAGAAATTTGGAAATTTGGAAATTTGGAAATTTGGAAATTTGGAAGTTTAGAAATTTAGAAACTTGGAAATTAAGAAATTTCAAAATTTAGAAGTTTGGAAATTTTGAAATTTCTTTAAAAATTTGATAACACAAAACCTTAAAAATTTGAAAATTGGAAACTTTTGAGATTAAGAAGTGTGGGAATTTGGAAATTCAGAAGGTTGAGGACCTTAAAACTTGGAGATTCGGTACTTTGGGAACATTTAGAAAGTTAAAAATGTGATTATTTAAAAATTTGAAGATCTGGGAATATGAAAACTTAGAAATTTTTGGATTTAGAGATTTCATAACTTTAAATCTTTGAAGATTTTGGAATTATTGAATTTAGAAATTTCTTAATTTGACAATTGCAGAATTTGCATATTTGGTAATTTAAGAATTAATTACAATTAAATTACAATTGTAATCATATCACATTTATTTATGAATTGTACAATAATATATAACATTTTATTGATGATCTATACTGATAGCAAGTGCTTTGAAATATTGACAATTTATATCAATCATCCGAGGTTTCCATAACGCAAAAAATGCATTACGTCAGTTTTCCCTATTAGTATAATTTCTTTAATGTTCACTATAACTTGAACATTATCATTAATGTCATAATCCGACTAATTATTTATAATTATAAATATATCTGTAATTATATCTATAATTATAATTATCTCTCACGTTGAATTGAGGTTGCAATAATTTCCCTTCTCTCTTAGTAGACCTTTTATAATGTTATTTGTAAAAACCACCTGTTTTCGTTAGAAATCAATATTTTACACTTACATTGCATAATTTTCTCGTCACTTGAACGTGTCATTAGAGTGATGAAAAACGCTGTTGAACGTAGAACATGTTTCATACTGCACGCACCCAACATGTTTCATATTAGCTGCCTACGTGCTCCGATAGGAAAGTAATAATTATACTAAAGGAAGAAAATATATTTAACAAAAAATTGCTTTTGACAAATAAAATCCGAAATCTTTATATTTCAATGACGCATCAAAAATTATATTTTAACTTATCCGCACGAAAATATATTTATCTCACTATTTGCAGACTATTTAACTTTTCTTTTCAAACTATGAAAAGTTCTAATAAAAATGGATCAAAGAATTAATAGTTTCAAAGAAACAAACACTCTTCATTTAGAGCGAATAACTTTCTGGAGTACGCTAATTACCATTTCTTCTTTTACTGGTGAAAGATAATTAACCAGTTAACTGTGTCGCCGAAATCGAGCGATGACGAGTATACTCGTCAATCACAGAGTAAGTTGCGCTGGTAAGATATTGGATCAAAAAGATGGGTTTATTTTATAAAATTGACACTTTTATTACTAATGTATATTTATTTGGTTAACTTAAACATATATTACATACTTATTAGATGAAAAACACAATAAAAATTAAATGCATATGATAGACCATCCCTGAAGGGACCCTATCATAAATCAGCTTTCCGACTTTTGCTTTTGCTTTCCTTTCACGCTAACATCTAAAAAA